AAATTTTTACCCCGACCCACTATATTAGCCTTCTTTAGCCATCATTGTGGATTAACTGTTTCGAACGATTCCCATCAATCTGATGACGACCTGGTGAGCCAGTTTCGAAAATTCACTCAATAAACAGCATTTTCCCAAAGAACTTCTTTCATCGAATTATACTTCTTGGGATGCCGATTTTCCCGTTCATATTTCTATGTCCTTGGGCATCAGCACAATTCACTGAGACTTCTGCAAACGTCCTCCTAGTTACAGAATTCTATATATATTATGTACATTTTCATAGCCTATGGTCATTAGAATGAAAATGGGTAAGCCCGGAAAGAATTCGTGTATACGATGGCAACCTAGCAATCGCCGCCAGTTCCAGTCTCAGCTATTCTAACTTAATTTGTTTCACGATGCTTCAATGATCCTTCCTACCATATGCAGGCAAAAGAGTATAGCAAAGGCGAAATTAGAGATTCAAATTCTTCTCTGCGACTGCCCCAATAATGAAGTAGGCTTGTTTGAAGTATAATTGCTAATTTTCAGCAAAAGAGTGCTTCAATAAACGTGAATAAAATCAGGCATATAGCATAGGGTTATCGCAAACAATGTATGGTGACAGAACACTGATTTTGTAAACATCATTACTAATCATCCTTGGATAAATCGTAAACTCAACGTGACTTTTTTCAAAATTGAGATAGCAACCTACGATATCGAATTCAGTCTTGTAGATAGAATACACAACAATCGTTAAAAAGTGGTTTGTACTGGGTGCAATATGCTATCCGATGCGTACAGTATGGCCTACAGTTCGTGTAACATGCCGAGTTATGCGAAAGATTTATATTATTTCGCTAAACGGCATAAAGTGAGGTTGTTATACCGTTTATCGGGAGTATTTACTGAAGTCGTTTTAGTCACGCTAAAATACTGGCTTTTTATCCAGCTTCCTTCTAACGGCTAACAAAAGGTCTGTACTATAATAATTAGCTAAATAAGTAGTATGCATTTTTATCATTGGTTTTGACTGCCTTTATGAATTCAAATATATCTTATAGAAAACATCAACGAAGAAAATATTCCTTGTGCTCGTTTTGTAGAAAATTACGCCTCCCTTAAATGTTATACTTAAAGAAAGGGTATCTCTCGGTTTTAAAAAGTTTACAAATTGCCGAATAATTTTTAAATTTACTGACTGCAGCACTTGAACTGAAGGCTTACAAATTGTGTGCTGTGTACATGGTGTTTGGGGAAAAGTACATTTTCACCTACGGTTTGAGAAAGAAGTCATATAATTCTCATAAAATAGTGCAAAAGACGTGGAACATGCTGTATACATTATGGGCAGCATTAGTAGATTAACGGATGCGATGTATAGTGAATGAGCACCTCACAATAGTTAAAAGCTCTTAATTAGAAACCTTTGTCTCTTTTTTTTCCAAGCTCCCAACCGATGCGCCGTACACAACACTAAAATAGGAACTTCTTCGCATCAATTCTATGTCCGACCGTCAGCGCTACCACCAACTGATAACAGGAGAAACTCATAGCGATAGGAAACCCCCTGAACTTCTTCGCCGCATGCGATCCCTACTTAGGGAAATCCAGATAAATGAAAAGTTGTTGAAGACGATGTTTTAGAGCGTCTCCCTGCCTATTTCCAAACGATCCTGGCATCTGGGTCCGATGATCTAACGATCTCGAAGCTATCAGAAGTGGCGGACAGG